TTTTTTTTTTTTTTTTTTTTTTTTTTTTTTTTTTTTTTTTTTTTTTTGAGATAAGAGTTTCTCTGCATAGCCCTGGCTGTCCTAGAACTTGCTCTGAAGACCAGGCTGGCCTGGAACTCACAGAGATCCGCTTGCTTCTGCCTCCCAAATGCTGGAATTAAAGGCATGAGCCACCACCGCCCAGCTGACATTACTTTATTCTTTATGGCTGAAAAAGTTTCACATGTATTTAAAAGCACGTTTTCAAAGCCATTCCTCTGGTTGCGAGCCTGGGTTGGTTCCCTGACTGCTACTGTGAACAGTGGTGTGCCACCCTCTGTGCTGGCCTGCAGCCGTCTGCAGCTACAACGGATGTTAGAGCTCCAGTTTCCGAGGAACCTCCGCACTGAATTCACTGTGGATGGACTGGTTTCTGTTCCTGCCATAAGGCTCCCTTTTGCTCATTGTGGTGGTAACATTTTTGTTATACAAAAGAGCCATTTTCAAAACCAAATCAAATAACTTAGATGTTTGTTAGGTGACTGTTATGAGCTGTGTGTCATGCTAGGTTCAGTGTAGGCCATAAGCAGTATGAACCCCTCTCCCAAAATTTATACACAAGGAATAAAGATGAGACATATACAGGAACATGACAGAGAGCATGCTCACAAAGCTACGTCTTCCCAGAACTGTAGCTTATCCATGAGTCCTATCCCATTAACAAGCAGTTTAGAACATTCTGTAGGTAAGTCTAAACTTACTAGACTGAATTGGATTACTCATTTTGACCTAGACAAAAATGACTATTTTTTTTAATGGTACCCATGGTAAGAACATAGCAAAGGGTCAAGGGGAAATAAGTATCTGAAAGTAAGGCTTAAACAAGTATTTGTGAGCAGCAAGGAACTTCAGCGGTCAATCATCCAGGTTTTCCTGGAACACACCAAGAAAGTCCAAGGCAAAGCACTACAAATTGGTTGCATTAGGAAAAACAGTCATATAAAATCAGATTAGACAAAGAATAACACATTTAATTTGGTTGGTCACTTCTAATTTTAAAAACTGAGATGAAGGCTTTCTCTGTTGCCCAGGCTGTTCTCCAGCTCTGGAACGCAAATGATTCTTGTCTCAGTTTCCCCGTTGCTGGGAGTCATGGACAGAAGCCTCCATGCCACATTTACCTTCTCAAGTTTGCCCGGTTTTCCTTTAGGTACAGTAACCAAAGGCACTCTTGTGATCTCCACAGGCCAGAGCCGGCAATCAGCGATTCGCTTCTGGAAACTGCAAATGAAAAACCAGCCCGTCAGCACCACACTGCAAACACTGGCCGGTATGGCTTAACAGGAAATATTCTTCTGTAGAAAATAATGAGGACAAGGAGTGGGATGCGACTCAAGAGTAGAGCAAGCCCTTGTCTGGTCCTAAGTATAAAGTCTATCATCCAGAAAGTAATGACATACATGTGGGATGTGTGTGTGCTCGTGTGTGTGTGTGTGTGTGTGTGTGTGTGAGAGAGAGAGAGAGAGAGAGAGAGAGAGAGAGAGAGGGAGGGAGGGAGAGAGGAAGAGAGGGAAGGAGAGGAAGAGGAGGAAAGTGACTGTCTTATCAGGCAGGCGATTTTTCATTTTTTTTTTCAACAGTCTTAGTACTATAGCTCAATGTGGAGACCGGAAGAATTCAAGTTCATTTCCACCTTGTCTGAGAGCTTGGAGCTTGGTTCTTTTGAAATTAAACTAGCTCACTGTAGTAAGTCCATGCCATCCTGACAGGTGGTCAGGATATGCAAATGTACTTCTGCTCCTTCTTCAGAATAGTGACCTAGAGCACCTTTGCTACCTAGACAACAGGATGCTAATGATTTGTCACAGAGTGATAAAGCCATAGACTGTGAGTTACCCTTTGCCTTTGTATCCTTGTTAAAAAAGCCTTCTGTTACCGAGCCCCCTCCCCGTTTATGTTGAGTATAAAGCAGGTGAATTTCAGGATGTCAATCACTGGAATGGCCTCCCAATACTTTCTATGTTTTCTGCTTTTTGTTGCTGTTGTTTGTTTGTTTGTTTGAGACAGGGTTTCTCTATAGCTTTGGAACCTGTTCTGGAACTAGCTCTTGTAGACAGCCAAGGCCAGCCCAGTAACCAGGAAAAAACCTTAATAGCAATTTTGACAAATTACTGGAGACTTAACAATTGAAAACATTCTAAGGGTTGCCTCTTCTTATGGTTGTTAATTGCAGGAGCCCTGCAGGACCCCAAAGAGAAGAGAAATTTAATGTTTCAGGGCGGGGTGGGACGCAAATGTTTTGAAATATCCCTGAGTATTCTTTTTTATTTTTGTTTGTTTGTTTGTTTGTTTTGGATTTTTGGACAGGGGGTGTTAAGTTGGGGAGCATAGCCCCCAGCCCCCAGGCGGGAGAGTTGTATTGGTCTGGACTCCAAAGCCCAGCATGCCAGGTCCTGACCCCTCCCTGGGGTATTTAGTGAACTCCCAAAAGAGGATCAGGTGGTCTCTTTTCCTTCCTCCTGGTGGTCGCGTTTGTGGCCTCCCGGTTCCCCCACCATAGAGCACAGGAATCCCATTAAACCTGGATATTTTTAACTTGGCTTATTGTGATTTGGCTTGATTGGGATTTTTGCGTTGGCAAAGAGCTCGCGTTAAAAAAAATTCCTAACGGGGTTATTTTATTTTTGAGAAAGGGTCTCAATTACATAGCCCTGGCTATGTATACCAGGCTGGTCTTAAACTCACAGACTGAATTCTATCTCTGTCTCACCAGTGCTAGGTGGGATTAAAGGCATGCACAAACTTGGCCTGTCCTTTGAAAAAAAGGTCTCTCTTTTTTAAAAGCTAGACGGTGGTGGCAAAGGCATGCAGATCTCTTTGAGTCTGAGGCCAACCTGGTCTACAGAGTGAGTTCCAAGACAGCCAGGGATGCACAGAGAAATCTTTTTGTTTGTTTATTTGTTTGTTTTTTTAAGATTTATTATTTATTATGTATGCAGTGCTCTGCCTGTATTCTGCCTTCAGGCCAGAAGAGGGCACCAGGTGTCATTACAGATGGCTGTGAGCCACCATGTGGTTGCTGGGAATTGAACTCAGGACCCCTGGAAGAACAGTCAGTGCTCTTAACCTCTTAGCCATCTCTCCAGCCTGAAAGGTCCTATCTTTAAGGGCCACTACCAGAGCCTTATGTGTTCCGAGAATAAAGTTGGCTAGACAACACCACCAATGTCCAGCTCTGTCTCTCACAAGAGGTTGAGAGGGAGGAGGAAAGGACTCCAAAACCCTCTGAGAACAACAGCCTGAACTTACTACAACACACAGAGAACTCATTCCCGCCCCTGCAGCAGAAGCCTGGCAGCAGCCGAAGGCACTCAAGGAGAAGCAAGATTTCAGCAGAGAAAGCAGCAGAACTGAGTTCCCTCTTAGTAGGTCTCTTAGGACAGCCCAGAGAAGACAAAGTAGGAGAAATGAACCAGAAACCAGGGGCACAGCTATGACTAATGTTCACCACATCCAGCTCCTAAACAGATCAATACCAAACCTCATTCTAATAACCCTAGTCCCGAGTTCCTATTTCCCCAAACCTAATGCCCAGATACAAATACAAAATTAAAAAGGGCCAGTGGCTCATGGTGGAAGAAAATAGATCCCAAAAAGTTTTCCTCTGACCCCACGTATATGGGATGAAATGGGACTTCACAAAATTCGAAAGATATGCATTTGAAATATGGTGGCTGAGAAGTAATGATGTCTGTGGGATCAAATTATCCCCAGTCATGGACCACTGGACAAGTGGCGGGTCCTGCACTTCTCCGGTTTCTACTGTCCTGAGTGTCACGCCCCACCTGTCATATTCACTAATCTCATCTCCAGCCAAAAATTACTGTGTAGTCAGTACAATTATCCAGCAAAAGGAGAAATAAAGGTTTTCTCAGATGAGAACCCACCAGCAGCCCTGTCTGGTGAGGAAAGACTGCAACCTTGGTTCCCATCCAAGTCAACAGCAACAAATGTAGCTTAGTGGTGGGTGAGAATGAATGACAACATACAACAAACAGACCCACATGGGCGTGCATCAATGGGGTGGGGGCAGTGAAAGACAAAGTCCAGCCAGATGACCAGGAAAGGGAAGTGAGGCAGAGGAGAACGAGGAACTGACTGAGCTTGCTTTTAAAGGGGCCTTGGCGCATGTGTAAAGAGCCTTACAGCAGCCAGGCCATGTAGTGACATGGCCGTAGGCGCGCTAGGCCTTTGCCCGAAGACAGACAAGCCATGTGCTGCCGTGGGACCCTGGGGCTGGCTGGGCCTGTGCTGAATACAGACAGGTGCATCTTTCTAGGTGGCAGCAGACAGGCCAGCAAAAGGCCTGAATGTTAACGACATGACAGATAGGAACCAGAAGCACACCTGTGAAATACCTACCCAATGTTTCTATAAATGTAAAACTATTCTGAAAAAAATCTGCTTTTAAAAGTCAGAGCTGAGAACTGGGGTTGCAGCCACACTGGCGGTCCTGTGTTTGTCATCTGTAACCAGCTCTCTGTGGCAGAGAAAGTTATCTGCCTCTCCTGCCTTTCCAGAATGATATCCTGATTAGTGCTGGGGACAATGTGTCCAACTAAAACAATGTACGTTCTAGTATAAATTTTATCTAGAGATGATCCATGAGACATAAATGGAGGTTATTAGGTTCCTGACTGGTTCTGAGGGAGAAAATTCCTAAGCACACCTACCACTAGCAGTGTATACGCTTTTAAATCCACACACACCACCTTCTCCCACTTTCTGCCAGCAATGCAAAGTGCAAGCCAGGGCTTCACGTGTCGGAGTATTTTGTCTACATGTATGTATGTGTGCCACATGCATTCCTGGTGCTCATAGAGGTCATAAGATGGCATTTGGGGACTGGAATTACAGGTGGGTATGAGCTGCCATGTGGATACTAGGAATCAAAACCTGGTTCTCTATAAGAGCAGCAAATACTGTATCTGCCTAGTCAGCTCTCTGGTCTTTGTGCTCACAAAGATGTGCCCTAGGGGAATATAGAATGTTTAGTTCCAAAGAAAAGAATGCAAACCCCCTTTCCACCACAAGGCAACAGGGACATTTTTTCTAGCCTGGTGGTGGCCTTTGCTTAATCTGAGCAGCCGGAGTCAGCTTGGAACCTTCTTCTAGATCCATCTCATAAACCTGTTTTTCTCAGTAAATCTGTAGACCCCATCTTTGCGGAAGGTGTCACATGAACTTTACAAAGAGTTTCAATGTAGTCACTCTGATCTGTGTTAAGCTTACTTTGTTCCTCAAGTAGATCTAGTCATGTTTTGTTGTGTACACAGGATTGAGTTAATCATCACAAGAATAGTTTTTAGCAGATTGTGCTGTATTTAAATAAGCCAAAACTAGCCTGACAGTGGTGGCAGGCCTTTAATCCCAGCACTCTGGAGGCAGAGGCAGGTGGATCTCTGTGAGCTCAAGCCTGGTCTACAGCGTGAGTTCCAGGACAACCAGAGGTACCTAGGGAAACCCAGCCTGCAGGTCTGGCTGGATAGGTGTGCGTTTTTTGTTCTCACCTTGCTACAGCAGAAGGATCAAGGTAGCAGCGACTCTCCAAGTCCCAGACGATCCTCTTCTTGATGCATTCTGCTTGGTTCCTAAATTCCTTGTCCTATGAAATAATCAGAGGGAAGTTTATGTTTATTCTGGTGGTCTGTGGATGTTCTCGTATATGACAGCTACTGCAGCTACAAGTCTGAGATAATCTCTGTCAAGTTGGGAGCGTAGGCCCCAGTCCCTCGCATCTATCCCAGCCCCCAGGCCTGGTCTGGACTCCAAATCCCAGCTGGCCGGGTCCTGACCCCTCCCCGGGGTATTTAAGTGATCCCCAAAAGAGGAACACGTGGTCTCCCTTTCTTCCTCTCGGGGGTCGCATTACCACGGTTTCCCAGTTCCCCCTCGGGGCCACCTGAGAGCGCAGATCTCCCATTAAACCTGGGTATTTCTTAATTTGGCCATTTTGATTTGGCTTGATTGGGAATTTTTGTGTTGGCAGGGAGCTAATATTAAGAAATATTCCTAACATTTTGGAGGTCCCACCGAGCTAGGGCAGGCCATGTCTATATCAACCCATTACTAGGTGCCAAATGTTTATGCACATAACTTCAGTCGGAGATTCTCAATTTAGAATATACATAAAAATCATGGAGTTTAAAAAATGATCTCCTTTTGAGTGGCAGTGTGTACTTATTTATCCAATTTATTAGAGTCCTGAAAGCAGCTGGCACAAGGCTGTGTGCACGAATTCATTGCTGTCTGCTCTTGAATATAGCTGTGACGTGACCAGTAGTAGTTCTCTGAAGTGACAGACTGTCACCTGGTTCTGTGAGCTGAGCACTCCCTTCCTCTCCTGAGTTTCTTATGTCAGATATTTTTACCACAGCGATAGGAAGCGAAACTAATCCACCACCGCCATTGTTTTACAAAGACTTCCAGGGCTGTCTGGAGTGGAACATCTCTGCAATCCTAGTTCTGAGGAGGGTGAGGCAGGAGGATGAGGTCAAGGCCAACCTAGGGCTCAACAAAAGCTTTACAGATTTTAGTTTGGTTTGGTTTTGGAGATAGGGCCTAAGTAGGCCAAGCTGGCCTCCTGGCTGGCCTGGAACTTGCTATGTCGTCTAGGCTGGCTTTGAAGATCTTTTGCTTCCTAAGTGCAAAAATCGCAGGTATGTGGCATCACACCTGACTGTTTTGCAGCTAATTTTAAGGTGCAACCATTGATGAGAAACAATTGTGTAAACTAAAACATAAGATCCAAATATATAAAATAAAATATAAATCTAAGGGAAGCGTGAATATCCACTAAACAAACATGAAAAGACATTTCAGATTTTGAAATGTTGTCACCCTTATTACTAGCTTATTTAGAGCCAATGAAAAAAACAACAGCCTCATGTCACTGATGGTTCTGAATGTTCCTACTGATGTTTGTCAACTAGTACAAGAATCATTTACAATCACTTTTCTAAAAAAAAAAATCTTGATTATCATTAGTAAGGAAATAAGTAAATTAAAGTATGTCTACTCAATGTCATGTCGTATAAGCAACCACAAAAAAAGGAAAACAAATGAACATTTTTTAATGTAGTAATGTGAAAAAAATACCCAAGATACACTTTAAAGTAAAACAAAGCAAATTGTAAACTAGCCTGTAAAAGAGATGGGGACAGTAAT